ATACTGGTGCTGAAACTTCTATAAATAGAAGAACGTTAGTCAAGTCACGGGCGAATCGGCACCAGTTCAAGGAGAAGCTATGGTTGAGCTTACTACCACCTTTGCGCACAGAAGATAGAAGATGATTTTATTTTGGGAATGGATTTGATCGGCCAACATGGTTTCTCTTTCGATCCTGCTATGAACATTCTCAAATTTGGTAATTTTTCCTTAGTACTCAAGAAGAATCTCAAGCTGTTAAGATCCTGGCCAAAAACCCAGTGAGAATTCCTGGAAGTACTGAGAACATCATTTGCAGAAAATTGGAAACAAACCATGGGTGCTGCATTGGACTAACACATAATTTTATTGGAGATAAACCAGAAAAAAATCTTGTTGGAAAGACTCTAGTAAGAACAAATGGGGACATTATGATAAGTGCCAATGTTTCTACTGAAACAGTAAAAATAAAAGGAGATATTATTGGAACTCTTAACCAGTTAAGCAAATATAAAACTGTGACCTACCAGATAAGCGACATTTTGAAAAATCGAAATTGGATACAGACACCTTGATGCAGACTTTGGACGTTGAAAGAACGCTTTGGAGAAATCATGGAAACACGATCCAGATAGACTTCAAGAAGCCACAGATTTCATCTTGAAAGAAGCAGACGTATTTGTGATAGATAATCAAACCAGATGGACCAGTTTAATTCAACACAAAATTGATACTGGATTGGCACACACAATTAGACAACTATCTTGACGTATGCCAGTAGCTAAACTACAGGAAGTGGAAAACCAAATTGATAAAATGCTTCAAGAGGGAATTATTGAAAAGTCAAATGGTCAATGGTCTACATCAGCAATAGTATTGGTTACGAACAAATATGGAGTCTTAGATTTTGTGTGGACTACCGGAAGCTTAATGACGTCAACAAAAAGTACAACATTAACAACTGTTTCGGGCTCCAAATGGTTTTCGACTTGGGATCTTGAAAGTGGATACTGAAAAGTGGTAATAAACAAAGATGACAAAGAGAAAACTGCCTTCAGTACTGGAAGCGGGTTATACCTAGACTGTAGTATCTGTGATGCAGAATTTCTTGACTCGCGTTACACGGTTTATCGCTCCGAGAAACAGTCTGAACAGTACTAAAAGCCGTGGAGGTGGGGTCCTTCTGGCAGTAAATAATTGCCTTAAATCTCATCGCCTGTCAATTGGTGAAGCATCGGCGGAGGAAACGTGGGTGTCTGTGACGCTGGTCTTCTGTATTGGCTGTGTCTACATTCCACCTACCATGTATGTCGCATTATGAAAACCATTTGAAATCAGTTGCTAGTGCCTGTGAAATGTTTGATAATGTGCTTATTCTTGAAGATTATAATCTTTCCCAAATAACGTGGTCCACTAGTTAGGATCTCTCTGGTTTATTACCTGGAAATGTAAGGACAACTAAGGAAATATTGTTATGGGATAGTACTGCTTCTCTTAATTTGTCTCAATACAATGGGGTGGCTAACGATCATGGTTCAATCCTGGATCTATGCTTTGCCAACTTTGGGCCCATTTCACTTGTAACATCTGACGGTCTGGTGGGCTGTGATCGTTATCACCCAGCTCTAGAGTTTTCCATACCTGTTGTTAAAGCTAAATTTCTGAAGCCTCTTAATTATTTTTTTTATGACTTTAAAAATGCCAATTTCGATTTAGTTAATGAATATTTTCTTTCCTTTGATTGGCGATCCATTATGATGGAGGATCTAAAGAAAACTGTTAAGAGCTTTTACTCGATACTGTTCGACTGCTTTAATATGTTTGTTCCCATAAAGGCACATCCTTACAGCGATAAATTTCCTATCTGGTTCTCTAACAAATTGAAAAATCTGATTTTTCAAAAGAAAATTGCTCACAAACGATTCAAGTGGTTTGGATTACTTTGCATTTAGTACACTTCGGAGAGATTGTAAAAACCTCACCAAGGAGTGCTGCAAATTATACATAAGTGATACTGAAAGAGCCATAAGGACCAATAAGAAAATTTTTTGGAACTTTATTCACTCCCAATCTAATCAGGGTACTCTTCCTAACGAAATGTTTCTTGCCTCAGAAAAGGAGTCCAACGGTGTTGACATAGCTAATCTTTTCGGTGTCTATTTCTCCTCCGTCTATAACCCTCATAGAAATTCCGATGCTGGAACCTTTGCTGATCGATTGAGAATGTTTCAAGCATTGTCATAGACCCAACCGATATTGAGAGGGCTTTAACGCAAGTGGACATCAACAAGTCTGCAGGACCTGATGGTATTCCTAACAGAGTACTAAAATCTTGTTCTAACACTTTGTATCTCCCTCTATTTAATATTTTCAACAAATCATTATCTTCTGGAATTTTTCCAGAAATGTGGAAGCCTTCCTACGTTCGTCCTATTTACAAGTCAGGCAGCAAAAATGATGTAACAAAGTACAGACCCATCAGCATTCTGTCTGCGATTCCAAAATTATTTGAGCAGTGCGTGGAAGAAATTCTTTCAAAAATATTTCATCAGATCGTGATCAGTCAACAGCACGGTTTTACAGCAGGTAGATCTGTTGAGACGAACCTGTTTCTCTTTACAACATTTATAAATTCATCATTTGCTAATAATGCAGAAACTCATGCGATATATACTGACTTCAGTAAAGCCTTTGATAAGGTAAACCACAACATCCTTCTTTCAAAGCTTTCAAGTTTTGGTGTTTCTGGACATTTACTTTCATGGATAAAATCTTACCCTCGATCTTACCTTACTAACAGAATGCAACAAGTCAAGATCGATGGCTATCTTTCTTCTCTTTTCCATGCATCCTCTGGGGTATCCCAAGGTTCTCACTTGGGCCCCCTTCTATTCAGCTTATTTTTCAACGATTTAGGATCGTTGCTCTCCGTTCTTGAATTTTCATGCATAGTTTGGTCACCTTACTATCAGATCCACATCAATAGGCTTGAGAGTGTTCAACACAACTTTATCAAGTTTGCAAGGTACAAACATTCTTTGAGTGGTGTGATTCTCAGTGATGACCTGACTATGACTTACTTAGACTTATCTATTGTTTGCCCAGCGGATCTGAGTCTACGGAAGGAATTCGGACGTAAATGTGCCATGTTGCCACGTTTAATTATAAAAAAGCGAAAATACTGGGCATGAGTATAGTTAATTTGAAAATCCATTTTTTAATAACAAAATATTGATAACAATAATGAAATGCTAAATATTTTAACGTGGTTGTTAGATCTATCCCTATTTTAATCCTGATTTCTTAAATTTGGACTATTGTAAAAAATAAACATTTTCTAAAGACACCATCAGTTTTTGACAATTTGGCAAGCATCCATCCTGGATGAACCTGATTGGTGGAGTTTTTGGCAGGATCGCCGTTGTCATGGGGAACCATACAGTTGTCAATGAGCTAACGTCACCTTACGTCTCGCTATTGGCCAGGGCTCACGTCATTTTATCCTCCCATCTTGGAATATTGATTTATATTGAAATATCCAGTGGCGGAGACTTGGTCATTGCTGATTTTCGTGTAGAGTTGCAATACGATAACACTTCCAAAAAGTTCCGCACGCAGCTGGGTATTTTATGAATGAAATCAGCCATTTTTTTTTACAACTGCATTCCCCTTACCATTTCCCCGTAGACAAAGACTCGCTGGGCAGACATTACTCTTGTTCGCAGAAGGGAATATTTTGATGTCTGTTTTGCATTTGAAATCCTTAACTACTACATAAAAAGCCACGAATGTCTTGAATGTTTTAATCTACACATTCAAAGTTATCGGACACGAAGTAAATCTTCACTGCACATTCCTTACTGTCGAACCTGGTACTCACTATTCAGTCCTGTGAATAGAGTATCTGCCAATGTAAATAAGTTCTGTGAGAGCCTTGAGTTCTTTGGTTTATCTCTGGATAAATTTAAGACGAAGGCCAGGAGAATTGTTTTAGGTTAGATTTTTTAGATTTAAACTCTGTACAACTTCAAATGTATTTTTCTTATACATGAATAAATAAATAAAAAAGATTGGGATAAATATTTTTTATGTCTTACAGAGCAGCTGTTCACAAGTCAACAGGTGAAAGTCCAGCTAGAATCGTTATTGGAAGGGAACTCAGGTTACCTTGCGATTTGATGTTTGGAATACCGGAATAAGAACGGAAAGAAATCCGAGACTATACGGATGAAGTAAGGGCACGACTTCTGGGGATGCATGATTTTGATCGGGAGCATATTCAGCTGGCCAGTGACTGAATGAAGGCCAGATACGACTTGAAAGCCAATTCAGCCGGATTTCAAGAAGGTGATTTCGTGTGGCTGTATATATCAGCAAGAAAGAAAGGAGTCTCGCCGAAATCAAAGATAAACATCCAACAATACAAATAAAGATTCTAATTGGAAATAGAAGTTTGTCTCATTGTGAGCGGCATTTATGACAAATAACAAGTGAATGCTCCTCGGAATGCTCTAAACAAACACATTTGTGGCATTCAATGCAAGAAAAAATGAGAAAGTCTCACAGTCCACATTGGCTATTATTTGGCAAAAAACGCACGCACCAAGGCACAAATTAGTACTGACTCTAGGAGAACTCGGGATAGAAAGATACTCAAGATTGCAGCGCCGTGATTTGTCGATTTTTGAAATAAACGGCAAAGCTCGCGGCAAAGTAAGATAGTTGCGGAGTGAGAGTCCGTGCGCGATCTCTGGAAGGTTAATGTTGTACTAGACCTTCTATTAGACCAAAGTTTTTAATTTGGAGTATATTGCCCTGCCTGTTTTTTTTTTTCATCTAAAGAGAATCATGTTTCTGAGAAAGTTCTAAAAGTTTCAGCACAAATTTCTTCAGACCAGTTCAAGGCTTATTCTCTCACAAATAATAATAATAACACTATCTTGCAAAGCAAAGGCGACAGCACAACAAAATCAACATGTGAGAACCTACTGTAAAAGAAGTGGATAAGTACTACTACTTACCTGTCTAAACAGATGTCCTTCTGGTCGTTTAATTAACCCAGATAGCCAGCATCTCACCAAAACATGACAATCATCCAGAACTGTATTGAAAAATCTTCTTGTTGGCAACAATGCTTCCAAATCAATTATTAATTCCAAAAATCTTTCACAATAATGCACCTAAGCAAAATAAAGAAAAAAATTACTGATTGTTACAAACAAATAATAAAATGTACCTTATCTGGAGGACAAATACCTTGAGTACCAATGCTCTCAAGAACCAACAAAAACTTTAACATTAATTTGTGTAAAAATGTTCTTTCCCAAGTCAGCTTGTCTAATTCCTCATTCTTGTCTTTCCTCTGAATAGCTCTCCAATATTTCTTCCATCTTGGATTTACTTTAAATTCATGCTCTCTACGGTTTGGCTGTAAGGAAGCCCACATAGACAAGGAAACTAGTCTTTTAACTTGATCTCTACAAATTGATTCCTCCATACTGTTAAAGCAATGATTGAGGAATACAAGTAGAGCCGTTTGCTCTCTTAAAGTCACTAGTAACTCATCTTCAAGACAGGCCTCAAGAACCCTCTGGAAAAAGTTTGGGAAATGTTCCTTTTGCTTTTTAAAGGCATCCCATTCTTGTACTCTTTCCCTAAACTTTTCATTAACCATAACAACTATGGACAAGATATGGGCAATTGAAGCACCGGGTTTGTAATTAGGCCACAAGAATTTTTCTAAATATTGACTGAATTCTAGGACCATTATTCTTCTGATTGCAAAATTGCTCCCCCGAATGTCTTGCATATAAATGTCTTCAATAACATTTGGATCGAATGCTACATGTTTTTCAGCGGAATGAGGAGCCCAGTATTTTTCAGCAAGCTAAAGCAAATAAATATGTATAATGTAATTTGAAGAGTTTATAAAAATATTGTCAATTTACCTGTGTTATCCGGTCTTTTTGAATTTGCTGCACCGTTGGGGCAGATAAAACATTTTGATCTGACATACTGAAAAGGCTTTTATTATCTACGTCGCATTTATAACTCACTTTTTAAATAAACTTTTAAATAAACATGAAACAAAACTACTAAAACGTTTGTTTTGTTTTGATATTAAAATCAGAAATAGGTTACGTTTTACGTTGGCATTTCAGGGCGTTTTCAACTTGTGACCAACGAGCGAACCAGAGTTTGAACTGAACGCTGTACGAGTGTACGGCGTGCGAACGCGAATGAGCATGCCCTGCACCGAGTATACTTTTTAAGGCGGCGCACAGTGTGAAATTTTCGGGATCTAGCTGGAAAAAAATATTTTTTCTACAAACGTGTTAAAAATGCAATTTTTAACACCCCTCCGTAGCATTAAAAATGTTACTTTATCGCACTAGTGCCATAAAGTCTTTATAGCACTAGTGTTAAAAAAGAAACATCAAATTTTCAGAGCGAACGTAAAAAAAAGTTTGTATTTTTAGTTATTTACAATAGTTGTATTCCTTTCAAGAGTTTGAAACACTCGAGCTACTCGCTCCGGTGCTTAGTAGCCCCCGATTTGGAGGGAACAGATGCGTGGTGCCACAAACACTTTTCGAAAGGAAGAAGCGCGTGAAGCCCCGGAGCTGTTCCGGAGCCCCAAGGAGAATAAACTTTCTAAGGAGTGCTTATCGGCCCCTTTTTGGGTAATCGCCGCCATATTGGTTTTCAAATGTTTCCAACCACTGCTGACGTCATAACTAAGTCGCCAGCTGTTTGCGCCAGCGGTTTTATAAATTTATAAATTTGTCATGAAAAATATATTATTTTGATTCTGATTAACCATTATAGCGCGTAAAGGTACCCTATGACGGAACCAATAAACATCAAGGTCAAAAGTGCGATCTGAGCGCGATATTTCGATATTTGGCTAGCTTTCGTCATTCCGCCTATTTACACGTTTTCAGCATGTATGATTTAATGGAGCCCTAGGAGAATTACGCGGCGTTTTGTTTACATTTCTTTATGTAAGTATAATAACTATAAGATAATTTATTCTATACTATCTAATTGTTTTTAGGGTTTTCTCATATTATTATAAAAACATATTCCTATTCGAGCATAAATTGATCGTTTGTTTATGTATTATATTCTTGTAAACATTACTGTCCCATATGGCATATGGGCCTGGGCAGAAGCTAACATTTTTAGCTGTACATTTTGTTTTAGTGGAATTAGCCATCAGGAAGTTTTGAATACTGCTTATGATAATGAAAATGTTGATGGCATATTATTGAGCCCACACAGAAAGCAAAGAGCTCACTGACTAAGATTCAGCAGATGAGGAACGTGGTTTAGCTGACCTATCTACTAGGCAACTTTGTGCTAGTGCAAAAATTGTTTATTCGAATGGGAAATATATCACAGGTAGAGCAGAATTAACAATTTTTTGAGAAATCATACAATTTTAACTTTATTTTTATTTTCAGACATACCCGAGGAAATATAAAGTACCACCTTGCGCTACAGAAGAATATGCTTCGGGCTGCAGCAAGTGATTTTTGAGTCAATAATGATATAATTAGGTATTATGGACTGCATCATCATTCAAACACTTTTCCTGAACGTAAAAAAAACGATGTGGTGGTCAAAACTGTAGCAGCCGAGGAAGAACAATGTGCTGTAAATGCAATATCGACTTATTTATTCACTGGTCTCGAAAGTTTCACACTGGGTAATAATTTTCACCCATAATGCTGCTCGTGATGATGCAGGCCAAAATTCATTATAATCTATTTCGTTTACCTGATCCGAAATGATTATATCCATACAACAGCCTAACCGGATCTTTTTCTTATATTTTTGTAAACTTTCTACAATAGGACATTGCCAAAAGGGTCTAAAGGCAGGTATGGTATCTCCCTTATAATGTCTGTATTTGAATAACTTGTATATGTAATAAATAAATAAATATTTTATAAATAACTCTTTATTTTTATTTATTAATAGGTGAAAATTAAATTAACAAAGTCAAATAACTTGCCCACAAATCTTATTTTTACTCGAACTACCTATAACAATATAATACTGGTAATTAGAATTCAATAAAAACTTTATACGTTGTGCTGTTTGCTCGGCCATTTGTATGTCTATCTGAGAAGAGTTTAATAATTGATTAAAAGTATAACTACATTCATTACTTGTATAGTCTCAATAGAATCTTGATTTCTTTTTCTTTTGGCAAGTTTTTCAGCACCCATGGAATCTATTTTTTGGCTCGGTTTATGGATCACTATAGAAGAGGGCAAATTCTGGGATGGTATAACTGTTTTTTTCAATATCCGACCTCTACCTGTACCTCTAAGACCTGTACTCTCACCTGTAAATAAAAAAAACAGTCAATATTTTCAAACAAAACATTTTAAAAATAGATAGTACTTGATCAATGCCTAGAAGCAGGCCTAATAAAATGAAGCTATAGGGCACAAAACTACCCATTATGCTTGTTTACCTTAACACAAAATTCTTGCTTGAGATGCAGAGAATACACTTTCATGAATTTGGTGACTGGTTTGCCAATACGAAGTTTTAAAATCCAGTAGGCTTTTCTTCTCGACACTAACTCTTTTTCCATTTTCGATTCCAAATAAACCTGTGTGGCCTGTTTCAAGGGGAAATATGTAGAAACTCAATCCTTTGTCAGCTTTTTTTTTTAGCCCAAGACTTTTTTTTTTGAAAACAATAATATATTACTTCAAAATTTTACAAACATACTTAAGTTACAATGAACTCTAATCAGTGCCTTAAGCACTGGCCTCGAGTACCCAGTTTTGTACACAGTATAGAAGCTATTATCATAAAACTAAATAATCAATAAACTCATTTTTACATAAATCAGCTTACCTAATACCACAGTGCATCTTCAATTTTTTAATAAATAAATTACAATTCTTGCACTGAGGAACACAACAGTAATGATTAAAAGTCTATATGTATCTGATATAATTTTATAATTTTAGACTTTAATTATACTAGAAACTAGTTTCATAATTTCCAGCCAGCAGCCAGATCATAACATAACCTGTGGTGCAAACAGCCTACGTCAAGGCGAAAAACGCCATGATGCTTACGTCACAACTGCTTTTTTGGCTTGGCGGGGTAGGGGGGGATTTGTTACACACAGGCCTTATGAGGATAAGCCATCCTTAGTAGTATGTATCATCCTTGCCGGAGCCCCTCCTAGGTGTGAAAGGAATACAACTAATGGTGAAATTTGAACAACCTGAGGTAGCCCGATTGGCCGCCTCATCTATGTTTTTCAAGGAATCGATGCAACCCTCTTTTTATTTTGTATTTTGTTGCATTTTTAGCAAAAAGCATTACTGACCACGAGCACGACAGACTTTCAAGAAACTGACAGGACATTCATTACCTGGGCCGAGTTCATAAATAACGCACAGGGTGCGAGTGCGATTTTATGAGTGTGCCTGAATTGACAAGTTATGAGTACTAGGCTTTATGTGGTATTATTTATCAAACATAATTTTAAATTAACTTAATACGTAACTGCATGTACTTCTTTTCAATTTTTTTTCAGTTGAACTATCTTTAGAGGGATATTTTTTAAAAAAGCTAACCCACCGTGTACGTTATCTGTTGAAGAAAACTATTATCAATGCAGATTTTCGGCGAAACTTAACACTTCTAAATAGGACGCCTGGAAAATTTAACTAAATAGACACACAAATATTGTGCATATTCTCCGTCTTGTCCCCAGCAAACACACTACATACTTAAAACGTCCATTTTATGTCATATTCACGTCCGTACGTCATATGACCTATTCAGAACGTACATAAGACGTACACTTTTGTACCTTTTATGTAGGTACATATCAAGAATCGTAAACTCTACAGGATTGCTCAATCGGCTAAATTTGTTCACAATTGCTGTGACGTCACGCGCATGCCGGATTTTCAAGATGGCCGCTGATACGAATGATGTTTAGTTTGTGCTGACAACTATTTTATCGTAAATTCGGATTTATCTAGTGTTATAAGTGTAAATTTAAAGTTTCATTTAATGTGTGTAAGCATAAAAGACTCGTGGCTGAAAATACTCGCGAAAACCCCAAGCATTTTCTGGTTTTATAATACTGGATTTGTTGTATCAGGACATCGCTCTTTTATTTGTGTGTATTGCTAGTTAGTATTTCCTAGTCAAGCATTTGTTTTGCTTTTTTTTTATAAATCAAATATCTACTTAGTTGTAAGTTTCCTTTGCATGTAATTACTAATAAAAATTAGGGTTTGTGAAGAGTGAATAAATAAATATGTAAATAAATTCCTTTACTGGCGCGTTTACTATGAAAACGCATGGAAAATATGGGAAACTTGCAATGTTTTTCTGGAATATGATTATGAGAATCTAAAAAATATAGATTGCAACCCCGTTTCGCTTATATTTTGATATTGAAATGCAAAAATTAAACCGGCTCGGCACCCCACATTTGGTATTCTACTGTTTCTCAACTCTGTAGTCAATTGTGCCCGTTTTGTGCTCAATTGTGCCAGTATTTATGCGAATTGTGCTCATTTTCATACACAAAAAAAACATTGAAACGAATCCGGGGGCCAGCTTGACTCCAGCCCTTCGTTTTTTTGACTTTTTGGCAATATGTTTGGCTAATTGATAAACAAAAGCGAACAAACTCGTCTTGAAGCTTGAAGTCTGCTAATTTTAAAATCAATAAATTAATTACAAAATACAGTTTTCGAAGGAAATAACCTCAAAATAACAATTTTTCACGTTTGAAAATGCAAGGATAGTGCACTGTCATAAAAAACACAAACCGATCAAGGACTGCGTGACGTCATTCGCATACCGCCATCTTCGATGATTTTATGAACGTTTGTCTTATGGGATTGAGCAATCCTGTAGACATCCATATTACGTACAGTTACGTCCACCATTTTGGTTTTATGTTTAAAGTGTAAAATACAAACAGATCTGTGTAGGAATTTAAATTTGAATAAAGTCTGTTTTTTTTTTAAGATAAAAGTCAAAATGACATGTGAATGACATTATGTTGGCAATACAATGTGAAATTGTCAATACTTTCAAGAAACTG